CCCTACTTTTAAATTCCTCCTAGTCAATCACTTCCTTTCCATCCAATCCCTATAATATTGTAAATAGAAATTTCTGTTAATATGTATATATATTATTAGTTTATTTAAAATTATTTTTCATTTCATGTTTCTTTCATTTTTTTTCTCTTTTCTTATAAGTTAGAAGATTTTTTTTCTTATAACTTATATATTTTTTCTATTATATCTAATAGTTTACTTTGTAAATACATTTGTATGTCTCTGAGACTCAAAAGACCCACATTTCTGTACTTGTTAATTATTCTAAATGGACTCGTCCCAGAATAAATAAAAGATTATTATTAATAACTCTGTCACCCCTTACTGACTCATACTAGTTTTAGTCTCTTAAGACAAGCGAATAATTCTTATTCACATTTCCTCAAAACTACAGAAATCACTTTTTGAGAAGCTAGCATACAATATTTGTAGATAATAATGCTGACTCGTTATTATAGTAATAACTGCTAATAAATTACCAATATGTGGCTGCACATAATAAAACAAATACCTTTGCTTAAAACAGAGGTATATTTACCTAAAGAAATGCTGAAATTAATACATTTTCTTTAAAGACTCCCATCCCTGTTAAGTCGGTTAGGTTAGGTTAAGTTGTTTGTAGACACTCAACTGTTTAGGTTTTAAGTGCCTTTCTATGATGATTTGTAAAATTTCTCTTTGCTTGTTTTATTACATTTTAATAAACAACTTATTTTCATTAAGGAATGAAATTATTATTTCTATGTTGCTTCTATTGTCACCTTGTATTGCTTGGATTTTTCTTTCATAGTTTATTTTTTATTTATTTATTTACTTATTTATATGATATTTACAACTGTATACAAAAAATACATCTGGTAAATTCGCACATGGATATAATGACATGAAACACATGTTGAGAAACTACCCATTGGTAGCACTCTATTTTCAAAGTTTAAATTTCAAAAGTAACTGCCATATATCTGACAATCTTCTAAAATGTGTCCAATCATCAGCTGCACATTGCATCTCTTACATTTTGGTGGTCTGTTTCTTTCTATGAGGTAGCCGTGTGTCATCTGAGTGTAGCCAATTCTTAATTATATGACAGCAACTTCTTCTCTTCTGTTATTCGATTTGAACTCTTCTAGGATTTGGTTTCTGTTTTTATATTTTTGAGCTTATTTGATTCTTCGTTTTTTCCCAAAACGTATGCCAGGTCCTTTTAGCTTGAAGCTATAGAAAACTGCATACATCTGATGTGGTGTGCATTCCGATGACTTCTAAGGATGATAAAACTGCTCCCTTAGTTGTCTGATTGGCAGCTTCATTTCCTTTAATTCCCATGTGTAATGGGGTCCAGATCAATAACAAGGATCTTGTTCTAGTCTTTAATCATTGTAGATTAAGTCAATTATGTCTTTTTTTTTATCCATCTTTAAAACACAGTAGTTTTCTGTTAATCCTTGTACCTATTTAAGGATTCAGGGTACAAGTAGCAAATTTTAGAGTCAAAATAAGCATGCCTATCAAATGGTGCAGTATTATAAAATTTGTAGATAATTTTTTTTTTAAAAGAAAAATTTCAGATGACAAAAATACCATATCATTGCTCAACACGGTATTATGGAACCGGAGCATTATGATATATGGGTCAGAAACTTGGACCATAAAAAGCAACCTCAGGAGGAAACTTCTAGCCACCAAAATGGACTACTGGAGATGAGCGGTGGGAATATTCAGAATGGATAAAGTCAGAAATATGACCATCAAAGAAAAGATGGATGCTAAAAGAACCATTCTGGAAGAGATTGAGATAAAACGCCTGAAGGGATATCAGACATTTGAAAAGAATGCCTGAAGAAAGACGACCTAAAGAAGTCCACTTATGGAAAACAAGTAAAAGAAGAAGAACAAGGAAGACCTAGGATAATGAAGTGGACGAATCCATGATGGGTCATGGTCCACGTGAAGAATGGACCTTAGATAGGATATTATAGAAAGAAGCCATCAGAGGTTTAGGTTAAGGAAACCCACTATTAGTGGAACCCCTAATAAAAAAAAATCAACAGTAACCTCAAAGAGTACTAAAAGAAAAAAAGGTTTATAGTAAAATTAGTGGAATCATACAGTACAAGTACCATACATTCCCTCTGTGGTCTGCCTATAATATTTGTATCATCAACACAGCCTAGAATTGGGACTTATCTTACATATATGTACACTCGAGCCTTTTAGGTATGTATCTTATATGTAAGATTTTTACTGTTTCTTTTCACCTCGGAATCTCCTTCATTACCTTCTCTAGGGCTAGGTTAAATAGCATCCATGACAGACTATCTTCTTGATTAAGAGAGTTATGTCATTGTGATTGCAACAATTAGTTTGATAACGAAACCAGTGTACAATTTCTGTGGGAGTCTCAATTATGCATATGTGATGGAGAATGTCAAGACTAACCTTGATATACCCTTCTAGTATATCTAATAGTATATATAGAATAGCCTTCAGAAGTTCTGAGACTATGTTGTCTCATTTTGGGACTCCATTATTTTTTATTTTTTGGGTGATATCATTGGTTTAATCTTTATGGTGGTTTGGTGAACTCAAAGCCATTGCGTAGTGTAGAGTTTATGTTTTAAACAGTTAAATGCTAAGAAGCCCTCTCTCCTCCCCACCAATCTGATTTCTTTGTTTGCCATCTCTTTTACTTTTCTTCTATGGATGCATTTTTTTCTCACCTTATGTCTTTATAAACGACTTGATAAGTTCCATGCTTTTCTATCAGAATTAGATTTTGCCTGTTTATCGGTAACTGGCACTCCAAATCAAATCATACAAACCTCTGATAAGTTTCTCCCATTCCTTGAATCTCTTCTGCTTAACCAGAAATGCCATTTTAAATAATCAAATTTACACATTTTTACATTCTACTCAAAAACAACTTTAAAAATGTTAATTAAACTTGTTATATCAATATTAAATCAAATGATCTTTGAAATCAATTTAAGTTTTATCTTCATTGAGATATTCTGACAAAGCTTTAAAGCGAAATTTCTTCTTCTATACTTATTTCTATCCTTTAATTTTGTTTATTTAAAAGATAAAAAATGTCACATTGTTACCAGTAATAAAAAATGATTAAATATAAACATTAATAGAATCTGATAATTAATAAAGAAGAAATGGACACAACCAGCTTCTATAAAGTGAGTACTTTTAATTAAATAATTAATTGAATTGAAAAACCTGGCAGTTGAGAGTGATCTTGGCCCGATCATCTTTCTCTACAATCGTTGGCCAAGAAACAGTATTTCCTTACTAAATACTAAGACCAGTTGTATAGGTTTTTTTTATTTATTTATTTATTTATTTATTTTATAAAATAGAATAAAGGTTAGTAGGAAGTGACTGTTTAGTAAAGTTAACTGTGACCAATGAAATGAACGCTACTCCGAGAACTACTGAGAATGCTAAAGCATGATCTGAATTCTAGCATTAATTCTAAACATTTATAATACAAATGGGATCTAATAGTATATGTGGCAACTGAAGTGACTACAACAAACATGTGGGAACTTTATAATCAAAATAAACTGTGATAGAAGGAAGGGAACAGTAACCAAATGTATAAATTTAACAGATTAGATGTGCAGAAAAATTCCACCCAAATCTGAATAGAAAGGAAATTGATTCTGAGAGTAGACAATTCAAATACCTTGGCTCCGCAATAATTACCAACAGTCAGAAATAGACCAGCGTTTATCTAGCACAAACAGAGATTTTTTCTGCCTTTCAGAAGTATTAGAAATAAAAAAATCTCGAGGGTGGACAATGCCATGATAAAGCCAGTTATAATATCTGGCTGTGAGACCTAGACACTAACCAACAACCTTAAAAAAAGTATTGAAAGATTTGAGAGAAAAATCCTCTTCACGATAACCGGAGCGATCTGGGATGAGAGTAATTTTCAAGCCTGACTACTGGTTGTTTCTTATTTAATATAACTTTTTTTTCTATAACTTATATAAATAAAAGTAAAACTTTTACCATAAGCTTAGAACTGTATTACGAAACGGTTTCTTATAATTTTTATTTTATGATATGAAGGTAAGGAAGTTAAAATGGGTGAGGCGTGTAGCTCGTAGAAATTGTGATCTGGGATCAGAGTACTAACACATGCAAAAGAAAGACCAATAAAGAGCTGCTTACAGAAAATGGTCAATCAATAATCTATGATATGAAGGAATGGAGGTTAAGATGGACGGAGTATGTAGCTCGAAGCAATCCACTTGGAAGCCTCTGCACATGAATGCCTCAATAGAAGGCAAAAGACCACGTGGAAGGCCAAAAAGCTGATAAATAGATAGAATCAACAAAGATGCAATAGAGTTGTGTGCAGATAACTGGTAAGAAATAGCCCAAGACAGGCTGAGATGGAGCAGGCTTGTTAAGGCTGCAAAAAATCTATAAGATGTGTAGTACCACAGGAAAAAAACAAAAAAGATTTGTGGGAAAAACATATGATAACTAATTGTTTTAAATTAATTTCTTACACCGTCTATAATTACTTTCACTTTCCTTTTTGTGAAAATACTTATTCAATAAAGTAAGATGGTATGTGTGAAGCGTGAACCGCACCAAATTTTTATACCTGTGGTCCATTGACCTTAGTAAGAAACTGGAAACTACTACAAGTAAACATTTTGTCCATTAAGTTCTAACCTAACATTACCTAAGCCAATTGTCCAAATTTTACATAATTTTATTTTTTAAATGTTTAATTTTGTTTGAATTGACCTTATACTTTTTAGAGTATTTCAGCCTCAAACTGCCTTGGAAAATTGCTCTTAACATACACATGAACACCTATTTATAGAAATAAATGCAATTAGCTATCTTAATAATTTTTATTTTAAAAAATGAGTAAGGCAGTGTTAGAACTTCTTGGAAGATTTAAAAAATAATTTATTGATAATTAGCTTTCAGGAAATTTACTGATAATATAATTTAAACATTTGTTATAAGTTTTTTATTTAAAAATAAACAAAAATAACAGGTAAATAACATTTACAATCTGAAATACATGTTTCCCATTCCCATTCATGAAACTGAACAGTGCATAACAAAGTATCTCTCAAATAAAGCTTGAACTTTTCTTAATGAAACAATTTATAAAAACAAAAATAACATTAAAAAAGAAAAAAATTATCTATAAGCATAACAACGAGCTATTTTAAAATTAATTATTATAAAACTGGAATGTGCTCTTAAATTTATCTCAGCAGTTTACAATCGACCAATACTTCAATATTTCATGACAAGAAGTAACATCATTCATAACACAATAAAATAACATCAGTATATTATATTCAGCTTCCTGTGAGAAAACATTTCATTTCACTGTTACTATATAAATTCAGTTTCACCGTTTTCCAACATCTTGAACAAAATTTTGAGAGATGAAAGAATTCTTCTCAAAATGAATAGCCTAAACTAAAATTATAAATAATTATAATCACACGTGCTTGTAAATTTGTATAAACAATTTACAACTCACATAACATATTGTTTGAAATTAGGAATCATTAATTTGTACAAAAAAAAAATTAAACAATAAAATATTACAATATCCATACGGCTGCTCCCAGGTTTACGATATATAAATTAACTGATTTGATTCACTACACCTTATTCCGACAATCTATATGGTAACTCAGCCATCTTTAATATAGTTTTACAGAACAAAGAAGCACCTCTTAAATAAATTTTATTACTCAGGCATTTTTAAGTACAAAATAATAACACAGACACATGGTACCACTTGAAAATATCTAATCTTTAAAGGAGTATTTTGAGAATATACTAATATTTATATATATATAAAGGGTATAGTTAGCACTAGTAGAATATAAGGGGAGATAACTTGTGCTCAATATACCTTAACATCTTGGGTTATATATTTATTTCTATAAATAATCGATATTTATGCTTATTTTATGTTGGATAGATAAAGCTCTATAAACTAGTTGAAATTCTAAACATTTAGCCATAGAATATTGATATTTAAAACAGAATGACTCAAAAAAACTACTATCCAGAAACTTTATAGAATAAATTTAATGAAAATTGGTGGCCTTGGTGAAATTAATACTTCTCTTTCATAATTGGGTTATTCCCCTAAGGTCATTATGATGAAATTTTGGAATAAATTGTAAATTTTCTAACTACACAACAAATATTATGAAATCATCTGACCAATATTAAATGTAGTAAATAATCGACAACTAAGAATAATAATTGTTTAACGAAGCTATAAAATGACAGAACTGATTTTTATAAGCTTCATATACAAGTTTGTTACTAGATTTTTATTTCGGACATATTCAAAGCTATTAGTAACTTACTGTTTGATGCTATATAAGAAGTTTTATAGAAATACTGCATATAAACATTAAACACAAAATCTAATTGTATTATATTCTAATCTATCTATATACTACTTATATAAACAAAGAAAGATACAATCAATCAGTGTCTGAATGGGATAATTGTGGATCAAATGTTGCAATAACGAGTTGACACAGGAGCATTTGTTGCAGGCAATATCGGAACGGGTATGAATGTCGCAATCAAGATGATGTGCATCATTTTTTTTTCTATATAAGTGTAAGTGTGTATATATAAATATGTGTGCATTAATATATGTGTATCTATATATATGTATATACATACATAACCATACATATACATACACACACATATATGATATACTCATCTTTTTATATATATTTTCAGTGTTTATATTTGTCGGATCAAGGAACATTGCCTGTATGATCTGCAGTCCACTTTGGTAATATAACGATATGTCAGCGGCGCACATTGAAAGAGGAGATCTCTTGATGTTTCTCAACTAGCACAACGATGAGTCTTTCCATTGTGCCCCAAACCCTGCACTGAGATTCTTGTCAATGGTAGAATTGCCTTCCATCTTTGTCCTTCCTCACCACCTCTTCATCAGTTCTTTGCTTGTTTTTAGAAAACACCTTATTTATCCTACATTCGACAATGATCCAGCCGGATGGAGGGAAGCGCCGCTTACAAATGTTATATCTCATTGGTGAATTTTGACAGCCTATCCCGCAATGCAAGGTTTTCTTTCTTAAGTCGGTCCATTTCCTGCCGAAGACCCAAATTCTGAAAAAAAAATAAAAATGATAATATTAACAAAAGAATGTAAAAATTTAAATACACAATTATAATAAAACTATACACAATTTCACCTATACATAATTGTCAAATTACAATCATTTTTAACTCTGACACAGAGAAAAGTCATAACGAAAACCATTTGCCCATCTTTTAAAAGTGAGAGTGAAATCTCATTTTTTAAAAATTAATTTTCAATGGTAAATAAATATAGTTTAATTTATTTTTTAATCATCCCAAACAAAAATATAGAAAACTAACCTAACCTCTTTTTATTAATCTTTAAAGTGTTGTGCATTTTTAAAGTTTTTTATAAATCTAGTTTAATATTCATGTAACATAAATCGTATAAATTAATTTGGCCTTTAATTTATTCTGTGAATAAATATTACTAGAAATGTTGGGTTTTCCTCTAAACCTTCCAGCAGGTGCACTGGAATATATTTTTTAATATACGTACATATATGTATATGTATTTGTATTTAATACGACCATTTAGAGATTTTTTAATATCTTAAGCCCATGGTCGAACTTACACTTTCACATCCTCTCTCTATTTGTTCGTTAATCTCTACTATTTTTTATAAGACAATGTTAAATTTTTCAATTAGTTAAAGAATTAATTATTACCTGAAAATTATGAAAAACATTCTTAGTAAGACAAGATGCAAAACATTCTCATTCTTAGTAAGATGAGTGCCTACCCTTGAAATTGATGTTAAGTATTCAATATCTTTTGCTATTGCATGTATTATGTTTGTTGTTTCGCTTATAAAGGATAAATACATATATTGTTTGAAGACATAAGTTTTCAAATTTCTATATATATTTGAATATATATAATATACAAATATGTTTGTAGGAATTTTTCAAACCTGTGAAACTAAAGATTTCTCATATCTAGAATTTCATCTAAAATAATTGTTTACATCATTATGTAATATTCACTTTTTTTTATTATTTTGATGAATTTTATGGATTTTTTTTAACTTTACAAATAGAAACATTCAAATATTACATCTATTGTTTATTTCATTTATTTATTTTCTATTTAATGTGAATCTGTTGCGTGCAGTAGCCCAAAATATTGATAATATTTTTTATGTTATTGATTTGAAATCCTAATAATATTTTTAATACTTTTTCCTTTAATTATTTCTCTATCTATTGAAATTTTCCAATAACCTATAAGTAACAACACACTATTGTTTTATAAAAGGAAATGCCTATTGAATAACCCACCATATGATTACTAGTGTTTGGATTTGGGCATACCTACTGGAAGGTTAATCACAGTAAATCAATCTAAGACGTTTGAGTTATTTCTAGATATTAGCTAGAAATTAATCTAACAGAATGAAAGCAACAATTAAATATGATTAGATGCTTGTAAATTAAACCTCACGGCAAAGCAATTTTCCAATCACTTGGCTATAAGGTAGAGCTTTTAACTTGAAGAGATCGGGATCCAAATTGAAAGTATTTCATAACTTAACACAGTTATGAAACTTCTGTTGTTAAATAAAGGCTCTAATCAGGTTAGTAATTTTGTGGCTATCCGAAAGCGAGGACATGATTCCGCCGTTAATAAATCAAACTGAATTGATCAAGCCGAACCAGTGGACTTGGGATCTATAGCCAAGTAGTTAGAAAGGCATCTGCAGCTGATTAAACTAATAATAATAAAATAAAATACCTTAGAGCAAAGCAATGACATCACAGTTATACAAAACATTGTACACAAAATGAACTTGGGAACGTTCTGAAAACATGCAAAATTAGTTATATTAAGTAACAAATAGAAGCACAATGAACTTGAGCGGCAAATTGGTCTAATAAATAATCTAGAACAAAAAAAAATAAATATCTGGCTTTTCAGGAATTAAGTCGGTCCATGTTACGAAGATAAAATATTTTGTTTTCTTTAAAAAATAAATATTTTAAGATTTAGGAAGTCACATTTTGCCTAAAAAAACAACACAAATATTGATTTTGCTAAAATATAAAATTAATAAAACATTACTTGTCCAAACTAATGATTCATCGTATTTCTCAGTAGGGTAAAGCCCCAGTTGTCGACACCCCACCCATTTTTCGGTATTTACAGCGGTTATTGAAGAATATTAATCATTGGGAATGGTCCAGAGCTTGGGAAAGGCTCATTTCAAGATGGACTGCCTCCTGCGCTCGAATATTCTAGCATCTCCCACTATTTATTTAATTTTTTTTTTTTTAAATGTATTTTAAAGGCATCGATCACCAAGAAATATTACTTTTAATTTCCCTTAATTTATTTTCAGTAATACTTGACCACAGATGATCTATTCCTATTTCAACTTGATGTTCATTTTAATGAAGAAAATAAAATCTTCAACAAGTATCCCCAATAATGAATTCCCTCTGCAACTACTTTTTTGGCTATCTTTAGGTTTTTAAAAATTAGATAAGGGCTGCTGAAAACTGGTACTTCAAGGCGCTTATGGATATTTTTACATTTTTTTTTGCTATATCAAAATAAATGAAAGATACTATTTCAGATATATATTTCGAAATCAGAGATCTTTAATGAATTAACAAAATCGAAATAGTTGAACCAAGTATCCACACCGTTGAAAACGAGACAAACACATTTTAATGTTTCCATAAGGGTGCTGAAAACTGGGGGTTTGCTCTATTTAATTTTAAAAACACATGCCTTCTGGTTCTAGCTCGTGGCTGTTTGGCAATTAAAATATTTTTTGATAAATTACAACTGAATTAATATTTTGATTTTTTTAAGAGATTATTTTTTTTTATATATAAAAAAGGTTTTAATTTTAACATTAAGATTTTAAGACCCATAGTAGATTTTATTACAGTATCCTGTAATTTGTTGTGGTGAGGAAAAAATAATTTATCTAAAGGTAAAAACTGCAAAATGTGACTTTTGGTGAAAGGAATTAATTTATAGATATGTGGAATATTATTAAAAAAAAAAAAAGGTTAATCACATTCATTAAGCCATATCTTTAGAATGCAAACAACACATAAAAGACAAGAATAATGCAAAGGATTGAAGCTTATTCATTATCAAACCAAATAAATCCTAAAATATTAGATTAATTTTGGTGGATCTGTATAAACAAAAGATTTTGTCATACTATACGTTCCTATCATACAAAATAAAAGATAATTAAAATTATTATTTTTTTCTACAAATAGTACCCTTGAATTAGGAAGTTATAAGTTACTATTATGAGGAAGTTTTGTATAATATTAAACCAAAAAGTTTAAAGACCACTGAAGTACGTGTTGTATTTGATCAATATTTATTTAACTTATTTATATATTTTCAAATTCATTAACTTTAGCCTCTCCTTATGAGTATTTATCTTTAAAATGTTTACGGCTTGAATTAAAAGACCTATAAGTAAGGCCCGGATATTTAGATGCATGTATTTTTTTTTTTTTGCATAATCTTTTTAAATATGAGTCAATATCTTTATGAAATAAGTTGTTCTAAATCTTTTAGCAAACTTTTATGTTGCATATTTTTGCCTATTTGGCTGGAATTTGAATACTCTGCATATTTATGGTCTAAAGCCATATATATAATGTATATTTTGATTAAATGAATTTATTTGAGGCCTATGTATATATATATAAATTGTATAATTAATAAAATTATAGATTAATATTTATGTAAATTAATATTGGAAAACATGTTAATTATATTTCGAGCATTTACTAACTATTCTCCAAATGATAAAACCATGTTTCATTCTAAATAAAGTAAAATTAGTTAGTTGTAAACTTCCCAATCATGAATATAGGCTTCCAAGAAATGAGAGCCGTTTTATTTTATGTGGAAACTTAATATGGAAGTACTTTTTAGAAAAAAATCCAAGAACAGAGAGCACAACTAATGCACTTTCTATGGTTTGAAGCATGTGCGAATACAATTACATTATCTCAAAAGTATATTTATTTTTCATTTAAAGCTAAATGATTGTGATCTATCAGTTGGGTATAATGAGAGTTTTGTGCTAATGATTAATATTTGAGGCCTTCTAAAAATAATCATTTAATTGGAAATTAACAAAATGTTTTAATGCAATTACCGCCTCCTGGTCATAAGGTAATTAAAGTTAATGAGAAAGCTGAGATCCCTATTACGGGACCAGAACCCGCAATAGGAATATTAAAGAAACATCAATGGAAAGAAGTCCTTGATTGGACATCAAAAAGAGTAGGTAAGGATTGGAGGGAATACACTGAGCTCAGACAAGCCAAACAGTGAATTAAAAACTCTTTCTCTTCTAAGTGAACTAAGTGGCAGCAATGCCTAAATAAAAATAAAATCCGACTAATCATTGAGATACTAACAGGTCGCTGCAGACTTATAAGACATTTAAAGATCTAAGAGATAGCTGGCAATGAGCTTTACCTTCTGTGCAGATACATACTAGAAATTACCCTTCACTGTGTGACAGAATGTGACAAATTCAAATCGCTCAGATACAGGCTTCTGGATCCTCAGACAGAATCCTAGAACGCTATGTTTCCTCTATAAATGGCCGTCCCTTTTGGACGTCTTTAGAAGATTTAAAAGGTTCGAGACATAGATGGAGGCTGTATAGACTATTATTGGTATTATTATCTTTGTGGTATGCATCACTAATGGATCCAGGATTTAATTTTGGAGGGCTTCAACCCGAAAGATTTTTTTTTTGGATGTATATATAAGGATAATTATTTCGGAAGAAAGAAAGAAACTAACTACCTATATGAAATGGTATTTAAGTGATTCTTTAAGTCCTATTCAATGTAATTAGACGAACAATCATACTTTTAATGATAATTTTTTTTCATAAAATATGGTTATATTTTACCATTTTGAAGGAGGGGGGCTTCAGCCCGAAAGCCCTCTCCCCCGTAGATCCTGTGGTTTGCATAAAGGGCCAATAGGCTCACTTGCCGGACTGAGTCCTCTCCATATATACCAGTATCAGTGATTAAAGCTCAATATTTTATTTGTATTATACTTTCACTATTTAGTTTCATATTATCCAACTTTTTTAAGAAATATTCAAATTTTTTTGACCCATTTAATTCCGGGCCTTACTTATAAACAATAGGATGTGACAGTCAATTTCATTAGGTAATTCTTAAAATGGTTATATTAATTCAAATTAATATAATTGAAAATTGTAGATGAAAAATCATTTTAATTTACATTAAACATTCAGATCCACATATTATTAAGTATTTTATTTTTTGAAGAAGCGATATCATTAGAATTAATAGATCTTACCTCTTTTTCAAGGAATCCTGCTCGCAGAGCAATCTGGTTCTCCTTCATCCTCCTTGCATCCCTCGATCTTTTAGCTGCCATGTTATTTTTCCTGCGTCGTGCCCAGTATTTCTCATCCTTTAACCCTTCTGGGACGAACTGTGAGTCCAGCAGGGTGAAAACAAAAGTTTCTCATTATAGGTGTATTGGAAAAGTTGAAAATGTATTCTAATTTTAGTATTTACAGAAAATTTATCAGCAGGTAAAATTTAAAAGTTTAATAATTTAAAAAAAATAATTTTATCGGTAATGGGCATTTAATAGAAGCTATAAATTATGAGTAATTTAATTGAGAAGTTATTTCATTGTTGCAGTCAGAAAAAACAAATAAAAATAAATTATTTTATTTTTACTCAAGATTTCGGCCTTCATCATGGCAGAGAGAAGACATGATTAAAAAAAAAAAAAAAAGATAAACAAATATTGTAAAATGATATGTTAACTTCTATTAAATAAATTCTAAGAAAGGAATAAAAATAACATATACGTTTATTGTAACGGTAAGTTATATTATTTTATTTATATTTTCATTTTCATTTACTTCTTAGAAGTTGTTTATTAGCAGATAACATATATTTTGTTCTCATATCATTTTACTCATATAATACTTTTTTTTTAATCTTGTCTCTCCTCGGTCCTGAAGAAGATTTGGAAGATGCTTGATAAATCTAACAATTATTTGGTTCACGCACAGATAGATAATAAACAACTTCATCCCTCAATCAGTGAAAATGTCCATTACTTTAACCTGCAACCCTTTGATTTAATTGTATCAGTGGATTAGCTGTTTAATTTGTTTATGTTAGACTTTAAAAAAATTAATTACATAAGACTTAATAATTTATGAAGATATTTAATTTTCACATAGTTAATACTTAATGACATATCTTTAACAGCACTAAGGGTTAAATAAATAAAAACAAATTTAAGACTGTAACATCAGGTAAGAGCTTATAATTTTATCATAATTAAAATTTTCTACACGATTGTTTAATATTTAACAGCAATCTATCTTCATATATATCTTATACTTATCATCTTTACATCAAGATCATAAACCATTCCTAGTCGCACTGTTAGACCATAAAATAATTAAAAAAGATAAAAAAAGAAAACAAGAACAGTTCAGTGTTCTCATATCAACCAGCAAGAAATTTTAATGAATAATAATGTTTAAAGTTCGTAAAAATGTTTATATTGTTATAAAGAATCATAAACATTAAATACTTTATAAAAAAATATGTACATAATGTATTTTTTGTAGTTTTAATACTAATTTATTTAACATTTAAATCTTCATAGGTTAAACTAAAAATAAGAAAATTGAAATAGGTTGTGTATGATCCTCACCTGTTTTCGTGATTTTTTAACCATTGGTTGTGGTTTGAGTTCTTCGTCAGAAAAAGCTCTTGTTCGTGGATCAAAGGCATCCCTGCTCGATGAGGCGAATGAGAGTGCTGAAAAATTTCTACATTTTAAAAATAATAATTTGAAACAATTTCACAATAAATGGAAAATCGATCGTTCTAAGGAAACACAATGCGGACATGGATGATGTATGTCCTTGCTCTAAGCACCGCTCTGTTACTATAATTGAATACCATTATACAAGGACACAAGGAAGATAAATATTAATTTATTTTATCTTTGTTATTTCTCATATTTTATGATATATATTTGTAAAAAATTATAAGGAAACCGAATACAAATCTATAAGAAAATACTATATTTAATCATTTATTTTTGCATGGTGAATAAGTTGAATTAGAATTTTAGGTATAAATTTTTTTTTTTTTTAGACTCAAGCATGGTATTTTCCAGAGGGGGGATGGGCAAATTGGAATAGTTGCCTTTCTCTTCCAGTGTATAGGAAAGTTAAAAAATTGTTTTGTAAAAAATTAACTTTTTTTTTATAATAATAGTACAGTAAAAATAATTTATTTGTAATTTTCATTTGAATAAAATGGTTAAAAAAGCTTTGGATGAATTATTTTTTCAAGAATATTTAAGAAGAAGTTTTATTACATTCCTTAAAAAAAAAAATAATAGCCATTTTCGGAAATAAATTTATTTTCACACCAATTTTTCAATATTTAGGTTTGTTTTTGGAAAAAAGTAACTGTACCATCGGATTCATTAGATGTTTTTATATGGAATTCGATATATATAACTTTAAAAAAAAAAATTTATTAGGGTTCATTTTGGAAATAACAGATTCAATTATTTTTTAGAATATTATAGGAAGATTCTAATAAAAAGCCTTAAATTTATTAAGTACCAGCTAATAACTAAACATTCAATATTTTGCCGTTCTTGAATCTTAAGAACAGAAAATAAAATTGCATACATGCATAGCTGAGGAAGGACAAACCAAATAGTTTCTTTATTCGTAGACAGGTTGAAATAAATAGAAACATGGGCAGCATATGTTGTCTTGAACATGACTTGTAAGGGAATTTTAACATTTATTTTTAATCAGTTTTGGTATGACTGGAATTTTATTTATTTCCAGTTATTTTGGAATTATAATTTTTTTCCATAAAACTTTTCAAGTAAAGATTTTGCAGAACATTTTTTTTATTTATAAGTTCTGTTGATTTTGCCAAAATGTTTACCTTAAAAATGACTTTTATTCTTAACTGCTCAAACAAAGGACACATTGACATTAAGTAATTCATTTAAGATAACTTATAACTCTAATTTTTAAAACTAATTACATAAACCTAGAACTATATTACAAAAAAGTTCTTTAGAATTTTATGATATGAAGGAAAGGAGGTTAAGTTGTAGCTTGGATAAATCCATCTGTAAGCCAAAGCCACTACACAACAATGAATGCCTCAATTGAAGGCAAACTACCACGTGGAAGACCAAAAAGTAGACGGATAAATAGAATCAACAAAGATGCGATAGAGCTGCGCGTGCGTAGATAACTGGAAGGAAATTGCTCAAGAGAGACGGGCTAAGGTGGTACAAGGTCTGCAATGTTATGTAAAAAAAATAAAATAGAAAATTTTTAAAAAATGTTTCAATCCCTGATCTTGAAATAATGAAGTATTTAGTTAAAAAATAACTAAAATAGTAAATAATTTTTATTTTATTTATTTAATGAAATTTACAACTGTATAAACAATACTAGTAAAAATGCACACATTGGAAATCATGACATGAACAGACTTGAAGAGATACTGCCCAGTGGTAGTACTCCCTATTTAATTCTAGGTGAGAAGATCATGTGCCCATATTTTTTTCAGACACCTAGGGGGATTATCAGGAATCGAGGAAGAGGCAAGGATGGAAACAAGTTGATTCGGATGGGGCTGGAGTTTATCATGAAAGGATAGGATCTGGCTCGGGCTAAATCAGTGACATATGGAACATTAAGGTCTTTATGAATGGTTTTATTTGTGACAAAATATGGAGCATTAAGGATTTTATAAAGGATTTATGGATTGTAAGGATTGGATACAATAGGAATTCGATGGTTTGGTAAAACCCCAAAGCTCAACTCTGTTATGTCCATATAGGTTTTATTATGGTTAAGTAGATGAGTCTTTTGTAATTAATTGAAAGTTTAGAGCATTTGTCTATTAAGTGTTGGAGCAGTCGAAAATGTCGAGCAGTTTCTTGTCGTTTCAGTCTTGTATGCGGATTCCAAGTGAGACGTTTATCCAAGTGGAGTCCTACCTAGCAGGCATGTTCAACAAGAACAATGAAATATCATTGAAGGATATTGTAGGGTAAGAAGTTGTGGGTTTACGACGAAGAGTAAAGGTAATTTGATGGGATTTATTGAAATTAATTTTTATTCTCCTGTTATGACACCATTCTTCAAGGTTTGTCATATGTGATTGGAGGGTTTGGGATGCAATTAAAGGGTCATTATTAACAGATAGGATACAAGTGTCATCGGTATAGGTGGGGTGGGATGGGTTGGGATATCAGCTGTATAAAGGATAGGACCAAGGATGCTCCCTTGAGGAACACCAGCAGATAGTAAATAATAATATATTTTTTACTATTTTATGTTCTTCTTTTTTTAAGCTGTGCTCTGGATATATGATTTTTTTTTATGTTACGATATTTGGGTCTCCATTTGGACAAACGACTGACATGGACATACCACATAAAACAAAAAAAGAAAAGAACTTAATCAGCGATACGGACTTCTTTCTAGGCTACTTGACAGACGTTCTAAATTATCTGTGACTAATAAATTAACCATTTACAAACTCCTCATTAAACCACTTTGGACTTATTTGGGGAACAGCAAAGAAATCAAATATAAAAATCATCCAGTCATTCCAGTCAAAAGTACTTCGGATAATTGTAGATGCACCCTTTATGTTTCAAACCTCACGTTACACACTGAACTTAACACTCCTTTCATCACGGCAACTGCCACTGACTGCTTTAATAATTTTCATGACAGACTGACTCTAAATTTCAATCAACTTATTGAAGCTCTATCTACTGCCAAAAATTCATATAATCCGCCCAGAAGACTGCTGAGGTGCTGGCCAAGAGACTTATTGCATTGAACTACTTGCTGTATTATCTTTTTTTTGTGTGTTATTATGTATTATTTTACTACTTTTTTTTTTTTTGTCTTTTTGTTTTGTTATTACTATTATTTTTTTTTTATGCTATCATTTCTTCTCTTTGATATCATATTTGCTGAATACCGAGGTAGACGGCAAATTTATTGTGAGCCAGGAATATGTATAACTAATAAATAAATAAAATGTTCTGATGATGCAAAAATGGCAAATGTTGTTGATTCGTTGGTAGTTTATACTGGTATTTGAGTTTTTTTTATTGTGTTTATTCTTATAAATTAATTTCTAAACTATACCTAATTAAACAAGATAAATAAATAATAAAGATAATAAAATTAAATAACTAAGAACTCACTGGACTCAGCCGGCGAGGGCGGTGATATCGTGAGCGGACTCATAGCCTCCGAGGGACTTGGGCTGGGCTCCCGCTTGGTGAGGACTTGAGGCGTGCTGCTGGTGGGCGAGGCCCGGCCCGGTTCCTTGAGGCATCCCGAGCTCGACGGCTGCTGCAGGCCACCCTCCACTGGGATTCCATTTTCTGACAGGAACTCGTCCAAGTCCACGTACTGTCGAAGGCAACGCTCTCTGTTAGTCACACTCGTCTCTGACTCTATATTTATCTTCTCCAACTGGAGGCCAACATCAATATATCATTATATTCTATCGGATTTTACTCAGCATTGAAACCCCGATTAGCCGAATTTATTGGCCCTAAGTCAGATATTTGATGGTAATCATTTACTACATTACAACCTAGGACTGAGATGTAAAGTTTTGGAAACAAGGTGAGATAGTTAGATCTACTGAAGTTATTATTCCTCAACATTAAGTTTAATTAATTAAGTATACACAAAGTAAATTCTCTTCATTGTACAAAAAAAAACAAATCTACTTTAAAAAATGTATTAGTAAAAATGAAATACTTTATTTTTGCTTAACATTCAATGTTTCAGCCCTTATTTGCACTTGTCACATATTATAACTTGTAATAAGTATGTGAAAAGGGCAAATTAGCCCAAATTCTTTTATATTTGTAAATAATTCATAGGCGATGTTTGTTAAAAGATTTGCTTCTTTGAAAATGGACTAAGGGCTGAAATTTTGCCTGGAAAGTAAAAATAGAGTAGGACTGGAGCTTTAATATTTGTTGTTATTATGAAAAATAAAGTGAAAATCCTATCGAACAATAATGAAAAATATTTACGTATTAACCAAAATTTATTAGTTTACAGTCTTGGCCTTTCTGTAGTAATTATTTCCTCTCCACCACAGGCGGATCTACGGAGGGGAGGAGGGGACTTTCGGGCTGAAGCCCCTCCCGCCAAAATGGTAAAATGTAACTAGGTTTTACAGAAAAAAATATTAAAAACTATCTCTTAAAGTATTTTGTTCATGTAATTATATTTAATAGGACTTCAAGAACCACTTAAACACCATTTCATATAGGTAATTAATTTCTCTAATTTTTTTTCAAATTAATTATCATTATATGTATATGAAAAAAAAATCTTTCAGGCTGAAGCTCCCCCTCCCCCCCAAAATGAAATCCTGGATCCGCTAGTGCTCTCCACTTTTTGTCTATATGTCTAATTTAATAAACAACTACTCTTAAATTATAGATTTATTATTTTTGTTTGTATGTTTTGGAAATACTTTGTTCTTCAGCATATAATTTGCCCGAGTATTAAATAAAATTTTAAAATAAGCTAGGTCAATGATAAATTCTCAACCAAAAAGTCTTTTTTTTTTATTCTTCTTTATTTTATTTACTTCAAATAAGAATGATCAATGTTCAAACATTCTACCAAAAATCCTCTAAAGTAGAGAGGGTTGAAGAAGGTAAATACTATTTTTTTTTTTTTTTTTATAATTTGATTTCAACTGGATTCATGTCTATTTGGTTGAGTGTTATTGACTAAGCTTAATCTAAGACTTACCAAGTACTCGATGTCGTGGAGAGAAACAAAATATCGCCGAAATGTACAAATAAAGAATAACACTATAAATTAATAGTGATTGTTTATTAAATTAAACTTATGGGCAAGAAGCGAGAAGAAAAAAATAATACTATAAAAAAAAATACTAAAGGACCACTTTAAAGTATGTAAAGCTAAGCAGAACCAAAAAAATTTTTTTTATTTATTTTTAATAAGAAATGATAAGAAGTCTATCATTATTTACTTTATTTATTTACTTCATGATTAAAAGAATACTTCAATGTTTGGAATTTCAAATAAGTGTACCTTTATACACAAATAAGCAATTAACAAGTTTTTAAATTTTGTTTTTATTATAAAAAGGAACTGAAATTTCAAGAAAATGGTCAAAGGTATAAAGTAAATATTTTTTTCATTAAATCTTCATAATTTTCTGAGGGTGTATAATAATAATAAAATTTATAATATAGAGGGTAAACAATTTATTTTACTGTTATACATTTACTTAATGCTTAAACTCATTCAAATTTCTTGATGATGTTTCGGGCAATTTTGCCCATTTTCAAGTCAAATAATTATATAACATTATTATATAATCCATATAATTATAGCAAAATTTATCTCCTCATAACTAAACATTTATTCCAATGCTACACATTTAAAACAAAAGCCTAATGCCCTCTGTGAGTTGTAGGCTTACCTATTATTTTGCTCATTGGGATTAAGAGTACTAAAAGCGTTATCAAGAAATTTGAATGAATTAAAAAGCATTAAGTAAATGTATAAGTGTAAAATAAATTGTTTTCCCCAGTTTTATAAATTTATAATATTATTATAAATTTTAGAAGTAAATAATCTATTGATCTATGGTTAGATGGGTTCTGAAGAATTTTTATTGTATCCGCTTATATCCTATTAATGTTTCTTCCAAAACTGGTACGTCAGTTGGTACAACTAGATTGGTTGATATTTTGAATAAACAGATGTCCATTCCACTATTTTCAAGTTAATACAAAACGACAAAACCTCCTAACTACATTTTTATTCTAAAGCAAAGTTTTGAGTGAATCTTGAAGTTTGATGCATTTATTATCTATTGGTAGTTTTAAGAACTAATAAGTGATCTCACAATAGTGAGTTTATAAAGTCAATTATTGGTTTTTAAAACTAGCGACGTAATAAATGCATCAAACTTCATGATTTATTTAAAACTTTATTGAAAAAAAATATATAGATATAAAGTTTCGGAATTCTGTCTGCAACATGTTGAGTCATATAATTCAATACGTAAAATATTTGAACAAAAAAAAATTATTTTTTTCTTTTAAATGCAGCACAGAATTATTCTTAACATGAAAGAATGAAATGAAAAATTTGTTTAGTTGAATATATTGGTATTCAAATAAATGAATTATTTGGAGATTTAATTTTTTTTTTTAAGGGTAAAAACAGACAATTTTTTTTTTTTTGTTTTCTTAAGTTAGTAATAATCGAATGTTCTTATTTTAATTTAAATCATGAATGGGGCATAAATTAGATAATATACAGAGACACCACAGTCCTTGGTTTAAATAGTATATAATTACCTTTTTGTTCAAGTGGAAGTTTAAAACATTGATAGTTTCAAGTTTTTCACAATTATATGATATTAATTATTTTTCAAATGAATTCCAAATTGAATGCATTCCTCTTTTGTTCTTGATAAAGAGTGAGAAAGACCTAAAGAACTAATCAGCCATTTTTTTTTAATTACTAATAAAATAAAATATTATTAAAAGAAAAATGAAGAATATAATGATTTTTATTAATTACCATACAATAAGAAAACAATATTTTTACATAATAATCAAAGAATAGCTCAAATAATTGAAAATTTAATCTTCGGACAATTTTATACAGCTTATATGTTCAGAATTAATAATTAGCTTAAAACATTTTCAATATAGTTTTTTTTTTTTTATATTTTGCTATTATTATTTATAAATTCAGTTATTGTAATTTAATTATATTTTCCTAAATGAAAGCTTTAGTGAATGTTATAAATTCCAAGAGGTGGAAAACTATCTCAAAATGTAATTTAATAAATCTGAAGTTATAGTAAAAATATAATAATAAAACACCTTCACCACATATATCAAAGTTATATTCATTTTATCTTATTAAGGAAAAAAAAAATTCATGCTTTTCGATCACAGAATAAATAACATATTTATCACAAAAATAACATAAACTTAAATAACAGTTCATCTTTTTTCAATGAATTATCTTCTCAGCATTATTACAATTTTAAAATTTTCTGTTTTAATAGGCGTTATAGGGTGAGAATTATGAAATCAATAATGTAAAATTAAGTGGTTTCTTTTTTAATGGAATGCTGCATAGAAATTAAGAGAAATAGAAGTATCAGTTAAATTATGAAAAACTTTTTTTCTTTAAAGTATTTGTTATTTGAAACCTCCACCCTAAAATATGTTAATAATCTGTTACAAAGTGACTTTCCAAAACCTTCGTATATATTCACAGAAATAGAAGAAAAAAAAAAAAAGAAATTCTATAATAGATCATTTTCAGTTAATCGGGGTTCATTTTCATTAGTAATATACCAGTTGCACCCATTTTAATGTTAGCGTACCAAAATTCATTTCATGCAGTTAACTGGTTAAAAGTATTTTACGAAAAAGTAATAATTTCTATCTTTTTTTATTCACAGGATCTATTAATAGTATTGTAATTTCATTAATGACCATTTCTGAAGGTGATGATCAGGTTATTATTCATTGGTGAGGTTTCCTTATGTTTTTGGTTTAATGCGGAATGTCAAACTTTGTAATTTTTTTTCTTTTTCCGATGCATGCAATTGTTTGTAGTATTCTAGATGGTTATTTAAAGCAAAAATTCACATTGTTTTTAAATCACAAATATTTATCTGAAGGATGAAATACAGTAAAAATATGAAAACTGAGTAATAGAAAAACAGAGTTCAATATCTTGATACGATAAATGTACAACACGGATCATATTTTATCTATTTTTTTCTCTGAGGAATATTTAATTTTACATAAACATGCATAGTAATTAGAGAACTTCTGTATGCGACAATCATCGCTATATTATTTTTAAGTGTTAGTTAAGAATGCCTCTTGCATTGAAGAATCATACTACCTTGAGATCTGTGTCGTAAGGTAATGTCTTCTCCCAGAGATTGGGGCCGAGGAAGGCGGTCTGTGCCTCCATAGTTCCCCATAGCTCTGATTCATCCTTCTTCTCTGGACTCTCTTTCCCACAGGATTTGCCTATAATAAACAACATGGGGTAAGATACATTTTTTTCATGATGGTAGACATAGAAATATAAAATAAGTCAAACATGACAGTATGCAGGGAAGAGTAGGCGAGGAGGCCGTTTCTCCTCCTAAATAATTTGAAAGAAAATAAGACATAATATAACACAAAAGGTTTACTGAAAACTTGAGAAAATTATTTTTTTTAAATTTTTCAAAGTATTTATTGTATTTCATATAAATATAATTATAAATTGTAATAATAATAAACTATTTAATAGGGTATTATAGAGTTTGAAATAATTTATTCACCTGAGATTTACCTCCATTTTTCTATGAGCTAAATACTTAAACAACAGTCACAATATGGCCTCTTCTTAAATTTTAAGGGAGTGGGATAGCTCAGTGGTAGCTAAGCTTCCAGTGCTCAAGGTTCAAATCCCGGCTTATGGCATATAAGTTATTTTTTCTGTTTCACAGGCCGTGGATCAAACCTGGGGTCAGGAGATCCTCCTGTGGCACACCCAGCCTTTACAAAGTGGATAATCTTTATAATAAAAATAATTAGAGGGGTAGGGAGGAGGAGAGACATGGTGGTTTCGCAGGTGATCTCCCTCCAATCACCTCCTTACACAGCCCTTTACCAAGAAACAGACCTTCCCTTCATAGTACTGAACTCAAGATGTAGTAGTACAGTTATTATTATTTTTTTTTTAATTTTACCTAAACTAGGTAAGGAAAGTATTGCGATTGAGTCAAATTTCTGATGTGCGGTTTTCAGGGGATCTGTACATTTCAGAGCCACCTGGGTCAGAAAAACACATTTTGGACCATTGATCTGTCTGTCTGTGCCAAGATTATCTCGCGAAATACTCCGATTTTGTTGCTTCCTTTTTTATTTTATAGGGTTTTGACTACTGATGCCTGTGACACGAATTTGCTGCCCACTGCGCAATAAGTGAAAATATATTTTCCTGTAGACTGTAGCGCAAAAACGACTCTAACGATTTTGATGAAACTTTCCTATAATTTTCTAATTATTGTACTTTCAAGTTTCGTATATGTACTAAATTCCCCAGAAAAATTCAAGAAAAAAGTTATAAAGAAAAGAAGAATGTTTTGGTCGAGCTAAGTATATATTCTATAGTAATTTATAACACTTTTTACCCCTTTTTTTAATGTGGTGATATTCCCTACAAAACTATATAAACATCGTTCATTTCGGACAACTATTAACAAAGTTACAGCTATTCATTTTCGTATGTAAGATTATGAGTTCAAATACCGATGCCAAAAAGGGGTGAAAGAGAAAAAAAAGGAAAGTAAAAAAATCTAGTGCCCGCATCACACAAATTTCACTATTTCATCTACTTTTAAGAGAAATTATTGTCTGACAACATCGCATAAAGTTTTTTAATTAGCACTATTTGAGTGTATTGATTTTTTTACGCCAATCTTCCTCAAGCCAGTTTACATTGCTTTAGTTTATCAAAGAATTCGTAACTCAAATCTGTTCTTTGATCAATTTTTAAGAAAATATATCTAATTCGATTTTTTTTTTTTTGTTTCTTAATGGACATATTTAAAGACATAAAAACTTTTCCGAAATATCTAAGAAAGGCGTATGAATGTACACATTAGATTTTTTTATCATATACATAACTTAAAATATACATATACTTAAAATATACATAACACTATTATAATGTATAAAATTTTCCAGAAATAGCGAACTTAATAAATAAATACCATTAATTACTGCACTTCCTAACTATTTTTCATCCTTAAAATTTTAACAGTGAGCTACATTTCCATTTATAAAAATGTTGAATTATACATAGTAATTTTTTTATTATATTTCGTAAAGTATTTTCCTTTTTTAAACTCAGAAGAAAACCTTTGATTACATTTTTTTCACGAATACTTTACTGTATATATTTTATGCACAAAGTAAATGAAAGTTATAATTATGACTGTATTTTTAATGTTATTTATATATTTTCAAGACAAAAATGCAAATATATGGATAAAGTACTTTTTGAATTGATACCCCAAAATATACAGGAAGCCTTGGCAGTTGGCCATTTTTGACAATGTTGCTATGGCGACCTAGACCATGTAATGATGGTACTTGAAACAAGGACATTGTAACCATCCAAACCCATCATCTTCCATTCATTCATTACCAGTCAATGGCAGGCTTTCCATCCGTTCTTTTTACCAAATCCATTGTTCGGGATGTTTTACTAAACTTAAAGTTAACAGATAAACGATTTTATTTTTTAAAAGATGAAGTGATTCCGATTACAATATATGAACTACGTTTAGTCTCCTTTCATTTTGACTTTCTAGTTATTGACTTAACCTATACCACAACAACCTACAACTACAGTTATAAGGAAGTATTTTTTTAGGCCAACGGTTGTGCAGGGAAATGATCGGGTCGGGATCACTCTGAACCGTCAGGTTTTCTATCTTAATTGATTATTTTAATTAAGAGTACTCACTTTGTAGAGGCTGGATGTACCTCAGGACTTTAAGCTTTGGAAGTCACTGCTTACACACTGAGCGCATTATTTTCTTATGTTATGTCCTTTTCGTTTAATATTTTATTAAAATACATCAAGTAAATTTATAATTTCACTGCAAAATAATATTAGATCGATTGAAACTAAATATATGTGGATAAATTTTTCAGATTTTTTTTTCATAAATTGTAGTAGGAGATCAAATGGAGAAACACTTTTCTACAATTATTCAAATATAAATAGTGGATGAATCAGACAGAGAAAAAATAACTAACCAGAAGGCCACGCCTAGTAAATTATAGAGGCGTCGGAACACCTGATATCTTAAAGTTTATTTGCAATAAATTAATTACTTAAAGAACAGAAAAAAAACTCGTTATGTCCACGCAAGGTCTACAGTGAGTAAGGTCATATAATCGACTTTTTTTAACTTCACTCATGCATTAGGTACGTCACAAACATTATTATCGAAGTGGCACATCTCTCAGTCACTTTCTTTTCAATCTGCGTCGATCACATAACAAGAAAGGGGGGGGGGGATTGACAAAACAAATGGATACTGGTGATTTTGAGTCGAAGAGCGAAATGCCTATCTGTCGTGAATGTAGGATTTTACAGTAGAAATGTTTAAGGTGTGTTAACAATTTTTCGAAGAATTTTGGATTGTGCTGTTTGTATTTTGTGTGAGGCGACTCCCTCCCCCAATAATATGTTGAGGGAGCGTGGAGAGCTTTTCGCAATAATTTGAAGTAAAAAAAAATTAAAATTGATAACAAACAAGATACATGAATGAATAAAATATTTAAACTAAAATCGATTATGAAAATTCAATTAGCTGGCTAGGTTAGGACCTATAAGTAAGTACGTAACTATTTTATCACCGCTTAAATATTAATATTTTTTAAATTTTCATTTATATCCAGGGGTGATTATATAGAAACATTTCCTAGGATTTTATGATTCATTATGTCATGAGTACACCTCCATCTCCATGCAACTTTCTTATAAATTTTCTATGATAAATTTGGAAAAAATATATTTAATAAATATAAATATATTTTATAGAGAATATTTTTAGACTGTGAAAGTATTGCATTTTTATTTTAAGGTTGTACAAACTCAGAAATTAAAAATATTTTTCGTTTTTTTTTAACATTATTCATTTTTAGCTGGAAAATTTATAGAAGTGTACCTATGTTATGAAGGCTTTTCCCATTCTTTCCACGTTTTTATTGGTACGAATTGTAATAGATTCAATTGTTTTGTTTAGATATTTTCAAGTATATTCATATGCACATAAAAACATTCTACAACTTCCAAATTTATAAATTTATTTTTAAATATTCAATAATATTATTGCTCGTTTCACAATAATTATGTTGAAGTATTACACATCATAAAAACAACCACCAATTTTTTATTTTTTGTTCTTTGTCCCTCCCCCCAATCGGAAAAGAAATTGTACGCCTATGTACTCTTGCCTTTTTAATTTCGGATGTTTGATCCAAGTAATTATTTTACCTAGGTGAAGTCTGAGGTGTGCTTAGTTTTTAAGTAGGGAACTGGATTGTTGTTGATCTTTAAAGATGAAAATTAAGGTATATTAATTTGAAAAAAAAAAATCTAACAAAAGTAAGATTGTAATTAAAAGTTGTATGATGAACTGGACTAGATTTTTTTGAAGTCAGAATAAAACAGAAATATGATAAAATTAATGGAAAAAAATAAAAATAAAATAAATTATGCAGTAAAGTGAAATATGTAGTCATATTGTTTTTTTGAGATAAGAAAATCGAAAAAAGAAAGAAGGAACACGATAAACATGTTTTGTCTGTTAATTGCAGATAGCTTGTGCTCGAGGTCAGCAAGATATTGTGCAGCATAATTTCTCTTTAATAAGCAATCGTAAGGTTCAATTACTCTCTACCGCTTCAAGATGGGATAACACCAATCTCATCAGAACGAGTGTTCATTTGAGAGGATATTGTACGAGTTGAATACAAAAAGAAAAAGAAAAACAATTTTATTTATTATTTTGAATGTACCACCTCATGGATTACTTTAGTTGCCAAATCCTGAGACTTTGGCACGAATAAGCCCAAGTACGCTATATGGGGCCATCTACAGAGTATACATAGAAATAATCTCTCTATTTTATAAAAAAGTTTTTAGTGACTTTCATATTTTATTTTAGTATTAGGAGAATTTGGAATAGGTGATTATTTTATAAATTATATAGCTGTTCCTTTAATTACATATGTGTTGAGCTACTGTTACCTCCTACTCTCCTAATATAAAAAAAAAATTAGACTAAAAATTTGTACGGGAAATGGTATTCGTCTGGAGGTGGTAATTTGATTTCACCTAAATGACAACAGTTATTTATCGATCTAGACATTTTTCCTGTTTTATTATTATTCTAATATTATTTATATTATATTATGATATAATCATAATTGTTATGAAATAGGAAAGGAAGCACAAT